TGTTGTTCTCTTTGCTGCTAGGTATGAATTTCTAATTTTCTTTCTAATTAAGAAAGCTGATGTGTGGTTGTGCAATAGCAACAGTAAAATATCCTAAACTTATGTACTGGAAATTCTTTGTTAGGGTTTTATGTTTAAAACAAATTTTGTAAAATTGATGGAAGATGGGGTGGAGACCCTCTGCTTAATAATATCTTTGGGTTTTGTTTTCAGATTCTAGGAGTCTGGCTTACTTATAGATACAGGAACCAAAAGGATCCCCGTGCAAACCCGAGTGCATTTCTTTGACGAGTTTATGAAGGACTGAATCTTCTCTCTGCACCCTCCACTTCAAAATACTGATTCTCCGTAGTTTGGTGTTTTTCCATAATAGAGATTCTACCTGTACCCAAAATAAAACTTAATTTCCATAAGAAATTTGTAGTTTTCATATTTAATTTCCCACTATTTTTCTTCTAAGAATCCCTATCTTGAAGTAGACTGGTGCATTCAGTAGCTGGGCAGAGTCAAACTGCAGCTCTGAGCTGGTTAAACAACCCTGTTAAGACTTTCGTAATTGATGTGGTGAACTCTATACAGCGAGTGTTACAGCACTACTGGCTTCTCTCATGTCCAAAAAGCCCAGAAGTATTTTCTGCTGTATTCCTTGATTACAAAAATTCACATGATTTATCATTAAAATGATGAAATATATGGTGGGTGGTTGGACTGTATGATTTGATTAGGCTTTATGATTAACTCTAGTCGACTTTTTGTCTTAATAATGATCTCCCACTTTCCTATTAAGGTAAAAATAGAAGCTAAAGATGTTGTTTTCTGTAGTGCACATAAGTGTATGTTAATGACTACTGTAGTCTTCACCCCTCTCCATCCCTGTTTGTTTTGGCTTTCTGGTAGCTTTAGAATTTTGTTGAGAATAAAAATAGTTCTTTACTGTTTAATGGATATCTTCACTATAAGAACAATGAGTGAAGAAAACCAGGAGAATGTAATCTGCAGCTAATTAACTTGAAACTTTTTTTTCCTTTGACAAGTGAATGAAATTTGGTATTTGCACAACATCGGGATCAATAGTGGTCTGTCATCTTCAATGTAAGAAACTTGATGTCTGGAAAGTTGTTGTACAGCAATTTTTTTCAGATGGTGTGAAATTATTGTTGTAATAACTCAACAGTGTATATTCCTCTGTCATCCAGCAAAGTCTTGATTTCATGAGAGATTGATGTGTAAAAAAAGAAAGAAAACAAAAAAAGTGGTGGTTTCCAGTAGTTTGTTTTTTTAAAAAAAAGAAGAGAATCAAAGTTAGAATGGTACATTATCCATGTAGTAAGTGTTGTCTGAGCTGAAGGAAAGCATGGTCCCTCTTCCAACCTGTAATATAAGTGATGTATCAGCTGGAACATCAGACATCTGAACACTCGAGGTGCGTAATCTTCCATTTGTTTCTAATTACACTGAATCGCAGACCTGCACTGTACCTTTTCTTCATTCAGTTGCTGCTTCTGGTGTGGTAGGCAGCTGCTGTATCCTGAAAGACAGCTCTGCTGGAAGAAAAGGGGAAGCGTATTAAGGCCATCTGCCAAGGAATACAGCAGCTGAGCGAGGTGGAAAGGAAGACAGTGAGGGCAGACAGAAGTGGATCCTCACAGTCTCCCTGTACTAGGGAGATGCCTCCTTGCTCTGCAAAGGAGGCAAAAAGAAGTTGAAATACACGCCCATCGGAACGCTTTCAGACTTTCATGTGCCCAGTGCTCTTAAAGAAGGAATTGCCTCGAGCGTTTAAACGGGAAGAGTTGAACCTGAACAGAGGGATGTCAGGAACTTGCTAATGACAGCTTCTCTTCAGGTGTAGCTGATTCTTCAACATCTGCTGTCAGCGCCATCTCCTGGTGTTTGGTCTGTGAATTACTGCTTCGTATGTTGAGAAGTATTGACGTCTGTTCCAAGCACAGACGTGTACGTTCAGTGTAAGAGCCCACTCATGCACTGAAAGACCTTAAGAGCCTTCAGAGTATTACTGAAGTATAATGTAAATGTATGCACCTAACCCCCCCCCGCCCCAACCCCAAGTACTGTCCTGTTTAAGCAACTAACCAGCTGTTCTTGATACGTGTCAAGAGGATGGTGATCATCTTGTGGCTGTCTTTAGCAGCAGTTAATTTTCTTAGTCAAGACAAGCTCCATATTTTGTACATTACTGTAATAAACTAAAGGAGTCGTCTTATGGAGAGGGTATACGAAGCTTAAAATAATACTGCATTGCTGCTTCAATTCTGACTTTTTCCCTAATTGTTTTTAGTGTTTACTTTTGTGTGGGTCTGGTTTCAAAAATATGGTAGGTGATACTGGAGTGTAAATGTGCATCACTGAGAAAATACTGAAAATGTGTACCGCTTCAGAAACTCTCATGTCTCAGAACATATGATTTTGGTTTAGTTATCAAAAGATAGATCAGTGATCATAGAGTTTGATTAAAGTTTTTCTATTGTATTACTAATACTTTGTCTCTTCAAGATTCTACTTAAAAAAAACAACAACCAGCTGAACACAAATCTTGACATTTACATCAGAGATGTGGATTCACTTTCAGAACCTAATTCTTAAGAAGGGCAATAAAATATATTGAGTCAGACTTTGGTTTTGGGTTAAAGAGAGTAGCCTCCCTCAGGAGAGGTCTGACTTGCCATTTCAGTGTACAAGAAATGTACTGTTCTGACGTGTTGAAATAGAGCATTTTTTAGAAGTATTTATACCTATTCTTAGTGGGTTTTGTCTTTGATATTTTCTTTGTTCGTGGTTTTGTCTTTCCTCTTGAGAAAGTAGTTCTGATCATATTAAATTTTTGTTTCTTTGTTTCATTTCTAGAGAGGCATTTTAGTTTTTATCTGCCTGCTTGAGAATTAGAGCTAATTGTAACATATTTTCTAGAAGCTGTTTACAGCAGCAGAGTATCAAAATAACGCAATTTAACTTGGAGCATTCTTAATGCTTACATTAGATGTCTTTTGACATCTTAGTTATGTTGAAATGCTTTCTTGAAGTTTATTGTTCTGGGAAATGTAGAAACCTGTCTTGACTTCCTTCAAGACATCTGTACCTGTTTATCACATAAAAATAACTGGCTATAAAATAATAATTCTTCTGCATCTGTGTAAGAAAGAGAATCCAGATCTTAACTAACATACTGATACTACTGTACATCTGCCTCCTTTCACATGAAATTGTTTATTACAAAAAGAAAAAGCTTGCATAACTTAAATTGATAACTGTAAAAATGTACCTTAAAACCTATAACTGATAGGGGAATAGGAGTGTGCTGGTATTAGTAGCTCGCATTGGTTTTAGGCCTAATTATTTAAAGACTGTCTGAATGCTAGTGGGCTTCTGGAAACCCCATTCGTCCTGTACACTTAGCACAGTTACTGAGCATATATACTTGAGAAATTGTTTCCCAGGTTTTCTAAATAAATGCAAAAAGATCTTTTTTTTAGTTACTTTGGCTTGCCTTGATGCCTCTGTAAACCTAAATAATCCGTATTTAGAGGAGGGGATGAAAAGAACAGAATGGAGTTGACCATTTAAGTATTAAGATTATTGAAAATTTGGCTAAGGTCAAAAGGCAACTACAAAAGCATATCCTGGAGTGCAAAAAAAAATATTTATTTAAAAAATTAAATTCTTGATATTTGCAGGCTGAAGTAGCTTGTATATTTGCATCTGTAGCACATACACTGTTAGACTTTTGTAGACTATGCCCTATATCCCTTTTGCTGGATACTGTCCGTAGCATCAGTACATCTGCTTAAGAAAATGATACTGCTTCAGTAGAGTTATAAAAACAGACTTATAAAATGCGATGGCATGGGCAGCTTTTGTTTTATGTCAGGTACGCAGCTCTAGCAAGTGTACTTTGGACTGAGTAGATAAAGATGATTCTGATAACCAGTCAGTCCAGCCGCCGGCTGTGCTGTCCCTCTACTCAGTGGTGTAACCACCTTTTTGGCTTTTTATGGATGAATTGTAAATAAACAATCACAAGCCATAGCACAATCATGAAACCCCTATACTGAATACAATATCACTTCTATTAATTATCTCAAGGCTTTACTGAATTCTGATATAAGCAGGAACCTTGTAAGGGAAGCAGGTTTTGTCTTTTAGAAGAAATAATCTTCAAGTAGATAAGGTGATCCTTGGTTAACTTCAGAATGCAGTCTGTTTAAAAAAAAAAGAAAGAAAAAAACCCTACACATGTAAGCAATCCCATCCTCTACTCTCAAGTACTTTTCCGTAAAAAGTTTGCGCTTCTGGTTATCTTAACTGTAAAGAAAGGCCTGATAATGAGAGCTCGACGTAGGTTGGTGCTGTGGGAAAACAAATGGAGATAAAGCAGGCTGAGCAATGCAGAGCTTAGCTAGCTGCTGAAATGAGATAAAAGGGTTGAGTTAATTTTCTTTATAGTAGCTGGTGTGGGGCTATATGTTTTGGATTTGTGCTAGTTACTGATGATGCTTACACAGAGAGTCAAGGCCTTTTCTGCTCCTCACCCTACCCCACCAGCGAGTAGGCTGGCGGTGCACAAGAAGCTGGGAGGGGACACAGCCAGGACAGCTGACCAAAGGGATATTCCATACCATATGACGTCATGCTCAGCATATAAAGAAGGAGGAAGGGCGGACATTCGGAGTGATCGTGTTGTCTTCCCAAGTAAGTCTTATGAGTGATGAAGTCCTGCTTTCCTGGAGATGGCTGAACACCTGCCTGCCGATGGGAAGTAGTGATTGTTTTGTTTGCTTGTGTGCGGCTCTGGAGGGGAGTGAGCCAGCCAGCCAGCGGCTGTGTGGGCCTGAGCTGCTGACTGGGGTTAACCCACAACAGCCCATTTCCTTCCAAAGTGCTTAGCTGTAAAACTGCAAGCTGTGGTTCCAAATGACACAATTATTTTACTCTTTCTAATAATGGTAGATGATAATAAGGGAAAAATACAAAACACAGCAACATTTTGTATGTAAACACTTGAAATGGATTTATTTTTTTAAAAAAATCATTTTTACAGTTGGATCATACAGTGTTCTTCTGTACGCCTTAAATTAAAAGCCTCCAGCTTTTAAAAATGCTGCCCAGTACAAAAGTGCTAATGTAAAACTGTAGTGTTTATATATATAAACCAGCACTACGTATCACTAAGTATCACTCTAAATATTAATCTCTTCACCAGTTTCAATGAGTGGAGAAGAGATGGAAGATCAGACTTCATAGTATTTAAGGGCTTCCTTCTTCCCCTCACAGTTCAGTCTTCAGGAGCTTCAGAGCTTTCTGCATATTTGAATACACTAGAAATGAAATATTCATACATGTTATTTTTGTTGCAACTTCCTCTTCCAGTGACTACAACTACCGTAGAGAAAATGTCATCGTTATTAAAGCTTTTGCTCACATGCTTACTGCTATATGGATTCTGATACTCTATGCTCTTCTAAGCATTTTGTGAACATCAGCTGCTTCATTTTGACTGGTGAGAACGTACATCTGCTAATGCATTTACATAGGTGTTCGCAGGGCAGAGACAGGAGCTGTGCAGCGGTGAGGAAGGGGGGTAGCCTACCACTCTTCCCTGCTCCCAGCAGGTTACCTGACCTGGCTCGGCAGGGCTTGTGTGCAAGTGTTCTCACCGTGTCTTACACTGAATGCTGCTGAATTATGCAAGTTCCTACTGGCATATGCTTTCTTTTAAAACAGATGGGTGTTTAAGGCTCCAGGGCTCTGCCATCATTCTCTTCATCTCGCTGAGTTTAAGTCTAGCGTCCTGTTGCATTTCAGTCCTGGTTGACTGTCTCTCAGCAAGTACTGACTGCGAGAGTCTGTAACGCCTGGTGTTACTTGTTGTCATGTGAAAAGCGCAACTGCTTTTGGAATATTTCAGAATATGCTACTTACACAGTGAAATGTCAGCGGGCTCGTATGCATAGAGACGGTTTGAGTATCTTCCAGTAATATCTGCTCTCACAGTCAGGGAAGGATCTGGAAAAAAAAGGACAAGAGAAGTAGAGGATAGCATTAACCTTCAAGCAGAAGGAAATAAACCTTTCTGCACTTCTGCTTGCTTCCTAAATGTTTCTGCAAGACAAGTCTGCTTTCACTAAAAAACAACAGGTTGTTCTTCTACACCATCACTAATGTTTCAATTCTAAGTGTTGTGTTTGATGGTTTATTCAGAAGGAGATAGGTTTAATTCTGATAAATGTGGGTCAGTCTTCAACCCTATACCACTGCATAGTACCTGAATTGAGCCTATCAGCTGAGGCTGCTTTCAGGCTACAAATGTTGTTAAACAAGAAATAATAAAGGCAGAGATAATATGGCAGTTAGTCTGTTGAAAGTGGTAATCATGACCTAGATTTATCAAGGTATGTGTTAATGATACATGCGCGCTGTACATAAGGTTACATATCTGTTCTGGGAGAGGGAATACATGGCTGCACACATGGCCACCAATATGTCTACAAAATGCAAATGCTTTGGAGGGGTTTGTGCAGGTTGGTGAAGCACAGGACTGAGTACTGAGCTTCCAAAATTGGCCCCTAAAGCATCCGAGGTCACTGCTGTTCCTGCAATGTCTGTGGTACTGTTACAAATCGAATGCTGATGGGTTTATGTTATTTCTAGAGATAGGAGGATGAGCAAGGCTGAGCTGGTACCTACCCATTCCAGTGACTGTGGTGTCATGTAATTTCAGTGACATAATGGAAGAAATTACATCATTTGTGGAATTAGCAAGGGAGGAAGGCTGGACCTCTGAAGCTAATGACCTGTCTGGGATTGCTTTGAAATTTCATCCAACAAAACCCACTAGAAATTTTATATTTCTCATGAAACAAATGCCTGATAATAAGCCCACGAGCTTGAGATGCATAGTGCAGCAGGGGCTTTGCTCTGACATCAGCTTTGATGCGCGAGGTACTCACCTATGAACAGAATCCGAGGGACGTACTGGCCGTCAGGAGAAAGGTTCTTGTCTGTGGTTTCATACTTAAAGAAAACATAAGGTTCCCAGTCAAGAAGGGCATGTTACAGAAATATTTTATTTCTCTATTGTACTTCGTGTTATGAAATAGAGCTTAAATGATATGTTTTAAAGTGTAAGAAATTCACTGTCTAAAATGCCATCTTTCAACAGCCAGAGTTGCAAATTGATAGCAACAGTTAATGTCATTATTAAACTTTAAATTCCTTCATATTTTGAGGTTATGATAGCTACAGATGAAAGAGACATTACTAAACCTATTATGCTTCAGCACTACCCATTTTTCTTAGCCAACTAGCTATTAAACTGACTAATTATAGCTAGAGAAGCCATGATTAAAACTAGAACTTTATTACTTAATGAAGTGTAACTGGGAAACTTACCACAAGGTTCAGGAGAACAAATTTTTCAGCCAGTTTCTGTATATCTTTATGTTCAGCAAAGACCTTCTTGAGTGCTGGAGAGGAGATAAATGGGAACAAAAGTAGAATCAAATTGAAAGTTCCAAGTTTATAATTGCAGCAAATGAAGAGGATTTTAAGTTCATCCCTCTGGAAGATGATCAGCTCATTTATATTCTCTGGTAAAGAGTAAGTATGATGGTAAAAAAATCTCCCTCCTTCCTTCAGATAGCACAGCTCTCAAATCTGTCTGCTTGAGCTTCAATTTGAGCATTTGACCCTTTAAACCTCCTGGTCTGCTATCGCAGTTTCTGGCTCCAGTTCTTAAGGCACAGAAAATTCAGTACAGAGGGGTAGGACTTCAGCCTGAGGCGTTTGAGGGGATTTTAATGCTCCTACAATGATTCTTCTGGAGCTACCAGGGCTATGGATGGATGCAAAGGCCTTGCTGTGTGGATCATTTTGCAGGAATAAGGGCCATTGAGTAAATCCAGAAACACCAAGACAAGGGGCAATGGCTTTGAACTGAAAGAGGGTAAATTTCCATTAGATATAAGGAAGAAATTCTTCACTCTGAGGGTGGTGAAACACTGGAACAGGTTGACCAGAGAAGTTGTGGCTGCCCCATCCCTGGAGATGTTCAAGGCCAGGTTGGATGAGGCTTTGAGCAACCTGGTGTAGTAGAAGGTGTCCCTGCCCATGGCAGAGCTTGGAACTAGATGATCTTTGAGGTCCCTTCCAATCCAAACCATTCTATGATTCTATGAAAAGAGCTTGATCACCAGAAATCCCACAAAAGCTCAATTTCAGCCTAGTTTGAGTCTCTGGCCAGGTTCAGCCTCCATCATCAGTAACCCTGAATACTGAATACATCCTTTCCAATAAATGACTGTTTTTCAATACTCCTGGTCTTGCTATTGGTTTTGGCTCATTGTGACACGAACCAAAATCATGTCGGCTACAGGTCAAACCCTGCTGTCCTGCACTCGTTTCTGTATCCACTCTACATCATGGAATACTGAATCACCATTTTTATTTTACTTCTGCACATGGGAAAATACCCATGTGGGACAGTGACTGCAAGAACACTCCGCATGCTCCTGCAAGTTAGTGTTTCACTGAGGCTTACCCAGCAAGCAGAATGCTGGCTGGGTTTGTGGGGTTTTTTTGTTCGTTGTTTTTTTTTTTTTAGGCAGCTTTTATCCAGAAACTGAAAGCCAGCTGGGTTTTTCTTTGTGTGGGTTTTTTTTGTGTATGTGTGTGATTACAAAGGGATTTACCTTGGCTGTGCGGGCAGTCGTCCAGGTGGTGGATAATCATCAGGGGTCTCTGGCTGCAAGAGAAGAGTCCTCATGAGGAGCTGGAGAGGGGAGATGCTAGAGGGCGCGGAGCGGGGCGCGGAGCAGAGCGGTACCTGTGCTTGGCGCGGAAGAGGGCTTCTTCGTACGTCTGCGTCCAGATGAGCTGGTCTCCCCAGCCTGCAGGGCAAGGACAGGCGGCGCGTTATAAGCGGGGCCAGGCGCCGAGGGTTCGCGCCCCGCCACCTGCCCGCGCCTGCCGGGAAGGGCTTCGGACGGGCGCGGTGCCGGAGGGCTTTAAATCGAGAGTAAAGGGGGAGGAGGTGCCAGGAAATGCTAGAAAATGCGTTTGCAGATTGAGTTGCAAGGAAATTAATTTGTTGAAACAGCATAAGAGTCAAAACTTCAGCAGATTGCACCGTTGGTTTTTTTTTTTAAATTTGGGGGTTTTCTTTGTGTTTTTTTTTTTGTTTTGTTTTTTTTTTTTTTTACCTCTGGAGAGTGTCTGAGGCAGTTTTGGTTTAGCAGTAGTCTCCTTTGTCTCCTTCTTGCCCACATCCTTTGCCAGAGTGCAGGAGATGGTGACAAGCAGCAGGAACATGGACATGTAAGTCTTCTCCATGACTGCTCCTGAAGAAATGAGAGAAGCTGTGTGTTGTGGTGTCCCCCAGGCTGGTGCCTGCATTGAGGCACACGGCAGATAAGGACGGGGAGAGCTGCAGGTCAGGTCACAAATATGCAGCAGGGTGAGCCGGAGCTGAAACAAAAGTGCTGCAGGCAGGGGCCTGGGCTGGGTCGAACATCAAGGAAGTGTAAGGTTTGCTTAGCAAATTGCCATGAAGGACCTGGCTGCTTTCTACTGCCCTGTTCACACCCTTGGGCTGTGATCCTTTTAAGATGCTCACATACGCATTAGATTTTCTCTCTTCTTTTTACATATATTGAATTTGCTCAGTGAAAAAACTGAGCAACAGTTCATTCACTGAGCAACAACTCAGTGAAACACTTTTGGCAATTCCGAAAGTACTTTTGAGTCCTAGTGAGTTCACAGTTGTACCTGGATCTCCCAGTGTTACAGCAGCCAAGGGCTTTAGCAGCCCAGGTGCTGAAAAACTCACTTGTCTCAGCTCTTCCTCCATTTTGCAGTGGGAGCAACTCAAATGAGAAGTCAGAATGTTAAGCTAGGTTAAGAGTGAGCCATTAGCATAGGCACAGCTTAATGCTGTTGTTCAAACTTCTGATTCTGTCTTCGCCCTTAAAAGCATAATCTAATCCTTACAGATGAAACCAGTAGAATCTATAAGCAAAAGAGTGGGCAGGAGTTGCTGTCTGGAACAGTAAGAACTCAAATGCAGTTCATTGGTTTAAGGAACACAAAGCAGAGGGCTTTTCCTGAGCTGGACTCTGGGACATGGAGATGAAGATGAGACATATCTGATGGGAAGCTCCCCAGCTTATCAGCTGGGATGCTTCTTTGAAGGGGTAAAACACTTTAGCAACATGACCCTATGTTTTCTTATTAAATTTGCTCGTAGAAACTAGAACACCAATGTAGTGGGTACAGCAAGAAAATCTAAGATATTCCAAAAGCAATGCAGAAAATCCCAAAGATTCATGCAAAAATTACAACAAGCTGACAGTTTTTAAAATTCAGACAATGAAAATGGAAGTCCAGGGAAATAGAAGCATTTTTCTGGGTAGGAACTGCAGGAGGAGGCATTAGCTGAGTTTCCATCAGTAGTGCAGTGCTCTTTGATACTGGGATATCCAGAGTCACTGGTTCAAGGGCATGAAATATGGCTTTTGCAGCAGACTGTCTTTCTGCCCTAAGAAAAGTCTGCTTGACAAGGAAGAAAATGACATAAAGTTAAATTAGACCCAGTGGATTTTCAAGATTGCCTCAAGAGTTGTTTTGGCTAGAGTCATATAGTGGAAGTAATGCTTCTTTAAAAAAAAAAAAAAAAAAGAAAGAAAGTATGGGACAACCAGGAAATCAAAGGTCAGACAAATTTTATGCTGTTGCTGATGCAGAATGCAGAAAGCAAAGACAGAGGAACATTAAACCTGCTCTTTAAAAACTTTGCCTCTGGAAGGCTATGTCTACTTTTGCTAAGTTTTCCACCCCGTAAAAAAAAACCAGCCTTCTCTCCTGGCTCTTTCAACCTGCAAAGCCAACATTTCTCTACACATTTTTCTTCATAGCAAGCTGTGCTGAACTGTGCCTATTTTGCTGCAGCCTTTTCTTTCAATTGATCGGCTGCCCCAGCCCCAGGTAACCCAGGCTCACAGTTCCCCAGGTACTTTCTAAAGCAGTAAGCGTGCCGTGCCGTGCCTTACCTTGTTTGTTCTCCCAGATGCCTGCCAGGGTGCGAAGGTGTTCCCCGTTACGGTGTGAACCCTGCCGTTCCTACTGCCTATTTATGCACCTTCACACACCCCAACTCCACCCACAAGCTTCGAATTTGAATATTACTTCTAAAGAGCTAAACTTTCCTTTTTTTCCCCCACTAAAGCATTCAGACTTAAGTTTGTAATTAAATAACGTTACATTTTCCTGTCGGACGCTGCATCAAAAGCTCAGAGCTGTTTCTGTAGACTTTTGGGACGTTTTTGGAAAGGTGATTTTAAAAGTTTGGCAAAGATCCAAGTCCAGGTAAGCTTAAGTCAAGACTCCTGATTTGCCTGAAGAGTGATTTGTCTTTTTTTGATTGGTTGGAAAATCAATATGGGTTGCTGTTCTTTTAGTCCTCTGAAAAAGTTAAATTGATGACTCAGAACTTTAGATGTTAATTAGATAATTAGCTACGCACATTATACAGATATGTGTGTACACATGCACGTATAACACGACATAGGAAAAAAATACAAAAGGAAGTTTGTAAAGATCTCCACAAAAAACGTGTTTGGAAGCTATAACAATAAACTGTGTTCATAAGCAGAAGTCTAAATAAACATTTAATTCAAATTCCATGTTTAATTAGTTGTGTAGATGATTATTTTTAACTACAACATGAAAATCAACCATTTTACATTTCATCTACACGTATAATACAGTACAACGTTTAGGAAAACGAGACCTTTTTAGGTGGCTGGAAGGCCACCCCTACAGTTGCACTGACTGCAGACGGTCCTTCCTCAGAGGTCAATGCGATTCTGTCCTCAGCAATATACGTTGGAACTACAATACGTTCCCCTTGGTGCATGCCTCATATATTTCAATGAGATTAAAATCACATGTTCATGGGCAGTGAACACATAACTGCTCCGTTGGGTAGGTGAAATCCATCAGATATGGATTTTCCTGTTTGAAATTCACAGTGCTCTCCGATGGCTGCTAACAGCACCCATTTTTTTGTGAATATATTTAAGAGAATGTAATTCTTTGGATCACAGTTTGTTTTTTTTTTCCTTAAATATTTTGTCAATAGTAATTAGGAAAACAAGGTACAGAAGCAAGATGGTGAACTCAAGCCAAAAAAAAAAATATTGCTGTTCCTTACAAATGTACAGTAGTACCGCGCTCTGCTTAGATGTTTGACTTATTAGAAGAGTGAAACCAAACCTCCCATGGAGGCTGGTCATTTTAACTCCCCTTTTTGGATGTTTCACGTCATCTACAGCCTAAGAAATTAAATGAGAGAAGGAGACTGCATTTCAATCTCTTCTCCTCCTAAAGCACTTTCTCCTTGGAAGATTCAGTGATGTATTTTGTTAGCTTCAAATCACATCCACTCAGATTTTCTTCTCATACATATATCAAAATAAGTTTCAAAGATCCATATTTGGACATGTGAGCCCTCACATGGGACGATCAGGTTACATCCTTAACCCACTTCGATGCAGATCTGTGAGTCAAAAATTAGGTGCCTTTTTCTGAAATCTTGGTCTCAGCTCAGGCAATTCATGATTGTAATTTAATACACTCTTGTTGACTATCTTCTCAGGTCACACCTAATAGCATTTGGTAGTTTTAAAGCCTGTAACAGAAGCTCTAGTTGCTCTCTGGTTATGTGAAGGGATAATGAGCAGGTAGGCTCCCACTCACACTTTTTTTTTTTTTACATTGGGTTTTGTCTAAAAATGCATTTTCAAAACTAAGTCCCCCCTCACTCCTTGGCTCCTGCCTTAGATGTGTTTCCATTTAATTTGCACCTTTGCTTTCTCCTGTTTTCCAGAGATGTACTTACCTTAACCTATTTCCACATAGCTTCGTGTTTTCTGTAAGAAACAGTAATGGAAATGCAGCTACTCACAGGGAGTTCACTGTCAGCTCGGAGCCAGTGATCTCGATGGAGCTAGTTGACCATGTCTCTCAGCCATCCTTGTGCCTTGTTAATGAAGAGACAGGAGAGCTCAGCCTTTCCCACAGCTGCTTGCTTAGGTCCTGAGACTGTACCCAGCCACTGAGTTAGCTTCTGGTCACTTATCGGGGGCTACTTTCTCTGCCTCAGTGACTAAATCCTGCAGGAATTGCCTCAGGAGAGCTTGGAACAAAACAGGGCTATCCCAGAAGATTTTTCCTCTTTTGCTATAAAGATCTAGTAGACCTGATTATCATTAATATTTAACATCTTTACAAAACTCATCATTGGACTTTGCCTTTGTTTTTAGTTTGTCTGGTCTGAAGATACCCTTGCTCATTATGTTACACAGAAGCCAGAACAATTTTTGTGACTGATGCTATGGCCGTTTTAAAGGCATTTTTTGAAGCTGTTCGTTTTTGCTTGTGTTTGGTAATACATAAGTTTTAGAAATGCCCGAAACACAGGAAATTCAGCCATTTCTCCTAATTTCATAACAAACACACACTTCCAAGTCTTGTGATCTGCTGCTCAGAATAAACAGCACAACTTTATGTTGGAGGAATAAAAGTAATGGATGAAATAGTCAGTACCACACTAGAAATAGAGCTGAGTCAAAGCTAGAGACAGCCATATCTGAGAGTCAATGAGCTTCCAGAGCTGTTAAAGTAGCAGTACATCTTAAGACAAGGTGATGGAAAGTAGAATGAATTCATCTGAGAGCTGGTCAAACTTCTTTTGTAAATACTTTAAATACACATGAACTGAATAGTAAATTTTTATCACCTGAAAGCTGCTTGGATGAAATTTACCTGATAATTTTTCTGAAAAGTCTTTCATCCCAAAATTTATGAGATGAGACACCTCTGACACCTATGGCAGATGCAGATCTCATTTTATTTCTCTAACCCCCTGAAGTTGTTCAAATCCTTATCTTGAAGATCATAGGTAGGTGCTCTCTGAATTGGGATATGGCACGATGATTGATGTTCCCAGTCACTTATGTCAAGACCATTTCTTTCTGTATAATAGTCATTTGTGCTGGAGCAGATACCAGACCCCAAATACCCCACTTCACGGCTTAGTTGTTGGTCTGTTAGGCAAGAAAGTGATTTTTCTCACATTGGCTCAGGAAACTTTTACTAATACATGAAAATGGAGAACACCACTAAAGGAGAGACTAGGAAGGACTTGGTATCTTACGAGTGATCCAGACGTTCTCCTGAGAGTTGGAAGACCATGGTTCAACCATTCTCCTATCTACTTTATATTCTGTACAAAGCTACATTTCAATATCGACCTGGAAAGTCAAAAATTCAGCAGATTTCTATGGCTGAACACTTAAAGCTGGTAATTTGAGTTCAGGTAAATATCTGTGAAGAATCTGATGATTTGTCTTGAAGTATGATGATTTCTCAAAATACGTCAGCCTAACACTTTCCTCTTTTTTCTTGAATGAATTACTCAATGAACTTGCAGTACTGACAGTTTATTAGTAGTATTTTTCAAATTGGATAGCAGAAGAGGTGATGAGGATTTAAAATATGACATTCTGACCCTTTGATCGCTGCTTTCAAAACGAAAGACTAATCCATCAGGATTTTGATATCTCTGAAGACATTTTTTCCCACTTGCATGTGCACGTTTATATTACAAATCATGACCACCGGATATAAATTGGCAAGCTGGAGTGCAAGCATGGAGCATCCTTTACACAGGTTCAGATAAAGATGGGGATTTATCATGTAGCCAATTCTTACATTATACTTTGTTTTGAGCTGTGAAATACTGGGATGTCTGGAAGGCATTGCTGAAGGACGTGTTTTAAAATCAGTAAGTCATTTGAACACCCATAGTAAATATACTTGCTCCTGTATGGTTTAATACCTTTTTCCGCAACAGTAAAGAAACTATCATAATCTGTTACACCAAGGAGTCTCAAGGTTTTCATTTTATGTAGGACTTAATTGCTCAGCTTGTATTTGGTAAGAAAAAGCCTGATCCTGACCACATTTAGATTTGACTTTGAAATTTTTTGTTCAGTCCCACAGGGAGGCAGTGAGTGAATGAAGAGGGATTCTTTAATGAGAGGGATTGGGAAGCTGGGGATGTGCCACAGCCTGTGGAGAAGACTTTGTATCTAGTCTTCTCAACTGGGCAAGTTGGTTACGATTAGCAAGGCTTCATGCCTGAAATTCTTGTACTTAAGCTTAAGTAAATGCATTTTTATTAACTGAAATAACTAGCTGTGTTTAAAATCAGAAAATTTGCTGTACTGCAAGATTAAAGCAAACCATTCATCTCCTGTCTGACCAACTGATACTAAATTTTCAGTATTGCTCAAAATTTATAAGTCAGCAGTTTCCTGTTTTTACAATACATGAGGATGGCAGGAAGACCTCTATGTTTTAGACAGCTTAGTTTTGTGCTTAGTATCACAAAGAGAGTTTTTAATTAACTCCTTTCTTTTAATCTAACTTGTTCAAAAACCTGCCTTCTCTGGTCCTTGGATGATAAGCTTTATTGTGGGCAAGTAGCTGAGGCACAATGTCGATAAATCGGCAAGACTCCTGGAGTCACCACTTTACTGTGATCCCTCTGTGTGCCTCCTTGTATTTCTTTTTCTTTTTTTTTTTTTTTAAATATTTTTTATCAATGAGTAGTAAATACATCTGCTCAGTGAAATTTCAGCTGAACCCACTGACACAATTGCTTTATTTGCCCCACACCTGCTTGTGTGCTCATCTCCCATTATTAAACGTTGCTTTTGCTTTCAGATCAACATCCCAATCAGCATCACCTCTGCAATGAAGCTTATTTGTTCTGCCAACTTTGTCTCTGTTACTGGTAGTGTTGGTCTTTGTCTCCAAGCTGTGCAGATGCTAGTGGTGTTGGCACCTTCTGGCCAGCATGATGTGCTCCACAGCACCCTCAGTCCTCTCCTGAATTCTCGACATTTCCTTGGCTTGTGTATTTGTCATAGAATGTGCAGTTCCAGTCAATCACATGGACTGCACAGTTTTAATGGATTCCAGCTTTGAGGTTCAGATGCCTTTCTGCAACAGGTCTTGCAGTTGTCATGTG